TCCCTTTGAAAGCCTGCTTCGGAGGTTAGAATCCCTCAGAAAACCTGATCCTGAGGCTAGGATCCCTCTGAAAACCTGGTCTTGAGGGATCCCTCTGAAAACCTGGTCCTGAGGATTCAGAGGATCCTGCAGATGGTTTATTTAAGTGTTAATTTCTTTAGCAGCAGGGATCAGTGAGGAGGCACTCGTTAAACTAGAAATTGCTGTTTAAGAAGTATTTATTTGAAATATTTTTCTAATGTTATCTCTAAAAATTATAGTTTACAAAGACATTTTCTCATTAACTTTAGATTTGCGGATCCCCAGTTCCAGAAAAGTTTGGTCGTTGTGTAAAATGTAAAACAACAGGATGTCAATGTTTCCAAATCTTAAAAACCATATTTTAAACACAATGGAATGCCGTGAACGTGACGAACTTATAAAACCATTAAAATAAAATAAAACAACAATAAAAGTTATTTTAAATGTGATGTCAGTGACACATGTTAAAGTGGGGCAGGACCCTGTGTACTGTGAAGCTTCACTCTGTCCAGGCTGTAAACATGGAGCTCCGCCCGGCTGCTGGAGGTTTAGACGCTGCGTGTCGTCCCGCGCTGCGTGATGGAGGCTGCATGTAGTTTAGTACTGTCTGCCTGAAACGTGACAGGAAAAACTAATTATTAAAAAAAAAAAACTTGCCTCTTTTCTTCTCTGCGCTTGTCCAAACTATTCTAATCCTACATTTGTTTATTCTTTTCTAAAAATTGGCAAATTTTCAAACGTTCATTTTATCTCCATTTGACTGTGAATGACAATAAGAGTTTATAGGCGTTGCAAATCATTGCATTCTGTTTTCGTTTACATTTTACACATCTTCATGGAGCTGGGGTTGTGTTTTCATGTTCTGTTCCAACCGTGGCGTCACGGTTTAACATCTCAAACACACCAGCTCTGATGTTCTTAAAGTTCTGAGCACAGCAGGAGTGCTTTGTGTTGAACATTTTCATTTCTTCCATCCTTCCATCTCGTCCTCCATCTATCCACCCCTCAGCTGGTCCACCGAGCCCCATCCCCTCCCTCTCCTCCTCCCTGAGAGCCGCCTTCCTCTCTGTGGAGGAGCAGGGTCAGTGATGGACAGAGGTAAGACATGATGACCCCCCACAGCAGACATATCCAGCTACCAATGGAAACTGTTTGTATTCTGATGGCACAACATATTAGTATTTGACTCTGAACGTGTGCTTCCCAACCCTGGTCCCTGAGGAACACCATCCTGCATGTTTTGGTTGTTTCTCTGCCCGATAAGGTGGCTTAATTACTTCTTTAAGTTCAGCAGAAGCCGAATCAACCTTTCATTCAAATCGGTGTTGGAGCAGAGGAACAACTAAAACATACAAGATGGTGTTCCTCAGGGACCAGAACTGGGAACCACTGGTTTGGGTTTTGATCAACAAAACAAAATCCAAAGATGTGTTAACCAGACTGTTGGCAGAAGTATTCATTATAGGTCCTGGTTTAATTTTGCATCATAATGATTTGTTTTTTTTTATGTGTATTCATGTTTAATGTGTATTTTAAAACCAGAGGTTGTGTAGTGCTTTCCAAGAAATATAAACAAACAATGATTTAACATTTAATTGTACATATATTTCAATTCCTCAGCATTATTACTCTCATAAAGACGCATAGTTTAAAACATTTCTCTCAATTTTCAAGCTGTGAGTGCCTTGTTGGGCTTTATTTTTAGTAGGAATAAAGTCCAGTGCCGAGTTTCTGTTTCAGTTTCCTGTGAAGAGGAAGAAAATTGTAAAATTTTGTGCTTGAAGCTTTTAATTTTTATAACCTTGCAGCTCCGCAATGCAGAGGAAAAGAAATGCTTCGTGGAAAGTGGCTAAAAAGTTAAAAATACGTTCAATTTATTGATGTAAACATCTTTAACTGCTTTCTAGGAAAACAAAGCACTAATTTCAGAATTGGTTTAAATGCTGGAGAAAAAAGAAAGAAAGATGTTTTCCATTCTCCTCATATTCACCCATTTTTTATCATCACATTCATCACTCTTCGTTGTTTCTGAACTCTCGTAGCTTCTTCAGCTCGAGGAGTAGGAAACGGCATTTTGCTCATCTTGTTTCTATAAGTGAATGTTTTCAGGGTGAGTGGGATGGAAATAATGCAAAAAGGAGACTTTAGTCTCGCCTCGAAGACATTTTGAATTGTTTTGAATTTCGCGTGTTACAAGAAAAAAACAAACAAACTCAGAGCTGAGAGTTGAACGTCTTTGCTGAAAACTGTCCAAGAATGAAATTTTACCTGAACTGTAGAAAAACAAGCTGAACCAAAGCTGAAATTAGCTACAGTCGCTAAAAGATAAAATCAACAAAACTCATCTAAAAGATACAGCAAAATAACAAGACTTGAAAGCTAAAACCAGCAAACTTATTACTAAAACCTAAATTTAGCTAAATTGTTCTAAATGTTAAAATAGCAAAACTGTGACTAGAAATTACCATTTGCAAAATATTAACTAAAAACTAAAGTCTAATTATCAAAACAGTAACTAAATGCTAAAATTAAAAACGCACAAGCTAAAAAGCTAAATTTGCAAACCACAGTTATAAGCTAAAATTGGAGTAACAGTTATTGAATTACAATATAAAAGCTAAAATCAACTGATAAAAGCTAAATTCACCAGAAGATAAACGCAGCAGTATTTTAGCAAAAAACAAACAAAAAAAATCAGCATAAAAATATAAAGAGTGAATACGTTGCAGCAGATATATGTTTTTGAGCAAACTGCAGCGATCTTAATGTTTTCTCATTTTTTTTAACTATATGTCCAAAAGTATAAATGCTACAAATATCAAAACTCATAACAGAGAAATCCCAACTAAATTAAACGTTTGGATTGATGATAGTATGCAGAAGTAATTTGACCATAATAAATAAACAAATAATACATGGAAGAAAGTATAAACAGGAAGCAGGAGCATTTACAAAATCAATACAATTTGGCATGGCAACAAAATTTATTTTAAATCAGTGGAAATTATTTTTATCCATTGTTTATTGAAAAACAATCTCATATTTCTTGTGTATGCTTCCTATTTTTAATGACTTTTACGCCCCCTCGGTGTTTGAGGATTTAAAAAACTTTTTAGATTTCAGCCACGGAGAGAAATTAAAATTCTGCGTTTGAGCACAGCGTGTCTCAGCGGAGACCTGTACTGACGTGACTCTCGATCTGTCTCCTGACAGCTGCCCTGCATCTGCCTCACCCCTTCTTACTCCCGTGCTGCCTCCCCAAGCCTCTTGCAGTGCCTCGGGCCCTCCACGTCCCCTTCCCCTTCATTTCTGCTCCTGCTCTTCCGGGGGGCAGCCTGGAAGAGATGAGGGAATCGGGTGTAAATGCTAACGGCTGGCCACACAGGAGCGCCACAGGGTGGGAGGTGAATCACATCGGCTGGAACGTGTTTGGAGGAGAGAAGCAGCCTGGAATTCAAAAGGAGGGGGTCAGAGAGAGGAAAGATGCAGACTGAAGAAAAATGGACAAATCGATTACTTTCCTCCCTCACATTTCTCGAACACAACCTTTCCTTTGTGTACTTTGGAGCTTTTTATGTTTTTTTGAACTTGAGTTTGTGTTGTAGTTTATTATAACTTTATGTGATTTAAAATATTTAAAATGTATAGGCATTTAACTATTTATTGAATTGGAGTCTGTCATCTCTTTGTGCGCAAAAATATTAAAATCCTGCTTTCATCCGTCAGTGCTTCATGGCCCATTAGGGGGAATACACTTGTAAACAATTAACAACATGGGACTTGTGTTGTGGTAAATAAAACAGTGCCCTCAGAATACATTATTTAGCTGTTTGTGTTGCATTTCCACTCTCTGCTTTGAGTTTCATAAAAGTGATAAGAGGCGCATAAAAGATGCATTCTGAATGAGACTGAGTTTTTTTTATTTATTTCAAGGCGCCTTCATGTCTCTCATCTATGCAGCATCAGGACCAGTCACTAGCTGCTGCAGTTCCCACTCCGACACTCTAGGGGGCAGCAAATCCATTGAAAGCAAAGACCTCCTTTTTCATAAAGATGTCACACTCTGATCTTAATTCGGTAACACATTTCAGTCTCAAGTGTTTCTCTCCCCACGCACTTTTTCCTCAGACATGCCTTTTGAAATGACGTTTTATTTTACAAAATAAAGTCGACTGAAAATTGTAAATATGATTTCTAGTATTAGTTTTAATTGTGTGATGCATGTTGTCCCAATTTACACAGTTTATTGAAAACGTGTATTTATTCAAAACTCTTTGTTTAGGTTAAACTGCTCGTTTTGCAACTATTTTCATTTACCTTGTTAATACGTATTGATCCCACAAAGCTAGGGTTGTTTAAAAAGCATGTGTGTGTGTGTGTAAGATAAAAACCTTAAATCGGAAACGCACTTTGTATAAATAAAAGCGTCACTCTTCGTTTCATTTGGAGGATCTTTGACTGATGTGTCATTTTCGCGCCGAATATTCACAAGCTATTTTTAATCGTCTGGCAGCGCGGGAGTTGTTGTTCTTGTGTTCTTTGCTGGACTTTATTTGTACGTTTAAACTTAGTATCAGGTGAAGGAAACGTTTTCAGACAACATGCAGCGGAGCATCGCGTAAGTAACGATCCGACAACAGAGAGGGGAGTTTTTGTTTAGCTAGCTTGGAGCCATGTTTGATCCTGTGACTATCACCACGTTAGTGTTGCCAAAAGTTGTTCGTGGTTTAAAATGGTCTGAAATGGGACTTGGCACATTAAGTGGCACTAAATTTAATAATAGCATCGCTGTTATCTGTCTTATGCTAGTGACTAGCTATCAAAGAAGTGGGTTAGTAGCTACAGAAGCTACAAAAATTAGCATAAAGTATGACTACGTAGGCCAGTTTACAAAGCTAACGACCCTCTTTAAATGAAGTAATATAAATGATATATGTTATGGGACAGAAATACTACGAATGATAATTTACTGTGTTTTAAACCTGGTTACGCTTGACAAAGTCGTGCTTTTCGTCCTCCAGATCATTTTTTCAACCCAAGAGCAAAGATAAGGAGGACAATCAGAAGAAAACTGCAAGTAAAACAGAAAAGAAGTAAGTAAACAAAACAAACCACTCTTAATGGGAGATTACCAGTCTTTCCAGATGTTTTGACTGCAAACACCTTCACAATCTTATCATGACATCTCGTAATTGTCCTGACAGATTAGGAGAAAATCCTCTCCATTGAGTTGGCTAATGTTGATTAGATGTGATAGACATCTCAAACTGCCCTGACCTCAAGTGTTAATGAGTTTTAGAAGTTCAGTTCCAGGTCATCTCAGGGTTCCAATAAAATCTGTATTGGTTCAAGTGATATTTTACTGACAGACTGTCTTTAATGCCAAGGTTTTATGCAAATATATCTAGCACTGAGTGTGTTGTGAATGACTGACATAATTATATATATATATATATATATATATATATATATATATATATATATATATAT